TGTTCAGAAATACCTTAACACTTGGTTGTGAAGCCCATTTATTGGAGAAGGAAACAGGCTTCATTTTATTTTATATTTTAATATATTTTTATTGATTTCAGAGAGGAAGAGAGAGGGGGAGAGAGAGAGAGAAGCATCATTGATCGGCTGCCTTCTGCATGGTATCGAGCCCACAACCCGGGCATGTGCCCTGACCAGGAATCGAGTGGTAGCCTGCTGGCTCCCAGGTGATGACATTGAGCCACACTGGCCACACCGGCCCGGTGTAACAGGCTTCATTTTAGAGGGTAGGTGTGGGTGTGGGTGTGGGCGCGTGGCCCTTGTGTGGAAATTTCCTCCGCTGCCGTCTTGTCGGCTGGCTTTCTCTGTTGGGAAGTGCGATAAGCTGTTAACTTTCTATCATGGCATGAAGTGGGATCTGCCTTTTTCTTTTCCTGGATACACAGTTGCCCACCATTTTTTATGTCTGTTCTTTCCCAGTGAGCCACAGTGTCCCTTCTGCTACAGCTGGTGTCCTTCGAGGATCTACATAGGTCTCCTGAGCTTTCTTTTATGTCACATGACCTGGTTTTGTCCCGAGCCAGTCCTATATAATAAAACCCTAATATGCAAATCGACCAAACAGAAGAGCGACCAGTCGCTGTGACACACACTGGCCACCAGGGGGCAGACGCTCAACGCAGGAGCTGCCCCCTGGTGGTCAGTGCGCTCCCACAGGGGGAGCACCGCTCAGTCAGAAGCCGGGCTGGTGGCTGGTGAGCGCAGTGGAGGTGGTGGGAGCCTCTCCCACCTCCTCAGCAGCACTAAGGACCCCTCGGGGGTCCCGGACTGTGAGAGGGCGCAGGCCGGACTGAGGGTCCCCGCCCCCCCAGTTCACGAATGTCGTGCACCAGGCCTCTAGTATCACATACTTTATTTAAAAAAATTTTTTTTTTTTAATTTTAGAGCGGAAGAGGGAACGGGAGAGGCAAAGAGAGAAACATGGATTTGCTCCACTTTTTTGTGCATTCACTGGGTGCTTCTTGTATGTGCCCTGACTAGGGATTGAACCCACAACCTTGGCGTATTGGGACAATGCTTTAACCCAAGCCAGTATCACACTGTTCTTTTTTTTAACACTCACCCGAGGATATGTTCTTTATTGATTTTTAGAGAGAGAGAAGGGAAGAGAGAGGGAAAAGCAAACATTGATCAGTTGCCCCCTGTACACGTCTCCACTGGGAATTGACTGGGATCAAACCTGTAACCTAGGTATGTGCCCTGACCAGGAACTGAATCCACACCTTTTGGTGGACAAGACGAGACATTGCAACTGCCTGAGCCGCCCGGCCAGGGCTGGGACCACACTCTTGCTGACTCTGGGAGACAATGACAGGCTTGGCTCTCTGGCCGACTCTGGTAGAGAACATGCTCCCATCCATCTTGCTCTTCACCAGTTTGGGCCTTTTGATGTGACGGGTTGCAGGACAAATAATATAATAATCAATAAATGGCATAAGAATAAACTGAGCCCTGGCCGGTTTGGCTCAGTGGCTAGAGCGTCGGCCTGCAGACTGAAGGGCCCCAGGTTCGATTCCGGTCAAGGGCATGTACCTTGGATGTGGGCACATCCCCAGTGGGGGGTGTGCAGGAGGCAGCTGATCGATGTTTCTCTCTCATCGATGTTTCTAACTGTCTATCCCTCTCCCTTCCTTTCTGTAAAAAATCAATAATATATATATTTTTTTAAATAAACTTTTGTGTACTCACAACTGTAAACCTACTTTTGCCCCACCCTGTGTATCTTTTTCTCTGCTTTTACTACTTTAACTTTTTTTTCCTGGCTGATGAGAGAGAGAGAAACATGGATTTGTTCCACTCAGCCGTTCATTGGTTACATCTTGTATGTGCCCTGACCGGGGATCGTACCTGCAACCTTGGCAATCGGTACGCCGCTCTGACCAGCTGAGCTGCCTGGCCGGAGCGACTACTCTATAACTTCTTTATTGTGAATCGCATCGATACGAGAAATACATAGAACAGTGTATACAGTTGGCAAAGAACTACAAACCATGCATCTGTGTCGCCAGCGCCCTTCCCGTGTCCTTATGTCTAAGGTGTGTCTCTTGCACGATGAGGAGCTCGAGATGAGTCTTGTGTTCTGCTCAGCCTGGAACCGGACCACCTGACCCGGGTGCGCGTGCGTTCCCTGCGGGCACTGAGGGACTCGCTGGACTCTTGCTCCCTCCCCGGTGCTTCCTGCTCCTTCTGCCGTGTCTTTTCCTCTCCGTTCCTGCCTCCCTTGAGGATCACCTGTTATCGTTCCCGGGTATTTCCTTCACAGGTTTGGAAGTTTATACACTTTTGTTCTTAGAGACGTTTCATCAGAAATTACATTTCTCCTTAATTTACTAGAATCTAAAGTATTTTGGGGGCAATACAAGGGCTCGGACATTTTCCTTTGACTTTTCACCCTGACTGTTGTCATGTATCATAATCCTATCTTTTTAAAGCTTCACAAGTCATTGTTCTGTTTACCCACAGATTTACCATTTTCTTTTTCTTTCTTTTTTTTTTTCCAAATACATTTTATTGATTTTTTACAGAGAGGAAGGGAGAGAGATAGTTAGAAACATCGATGAGAGAGAAACATCAATCAGCTGCCTCCTGCACATCTCCCACTGGGGATGTGCCCGCAACCCTGGTACATGCCCTTGACCGGAATCGAACCGGGGACCTCTCAGTCCGCAGGCCGACGCTCTATCCACTGAGCCAAACCGGTTTCAGGACCATTTTCTTTTTCTTTCTTTTTTTTTTGGCGGGGGGGGGGGGGGGGGGGGGGCGGGGGGGGAGTGGCTTAAACAACAGAATTTTTTTTTTTAGTTTTTTTTTTATTTAAATTCTTTATTGTTGAAAGTATTACATATGTCTCCTTTTTCCCCCATTGACCTCTCCCCATGGCTCCTGGCCCCCAGCACATGCCCTCACCCCCTACTGCCTGTGTCCATTGGTTACGCATATATGCATGCACACAAGTCCTTTGGTTGATCTCTTACCCCCCTCCACTCCCCCACCTCCCCACCTTCCCTCTGAAGTTTGGCATTCCTTCTTTCAGAGTTGTTTTTCTTCTGTATGAAGCACATCCTTGAACTTTTTTAGTGATGTTTTGCTGAGGTCAAGATGTTTTCGCTGAGTCTGGAATTCCGGGATTGCAGTTATCTTTCAGACCCTGAAAGGCCCCTTTCCCTACTGCCTTCTGGCTCCATAGGTTTCCTTGGGAAGGTGTGTGTTGAAAAGTAATTTTCCCTCTCCTGGATACGAATAAGGCCCCCCCCCCTTTTTCTTTGGTTTCTGCAGTTTTATTATGTGGCCAGGTGTGACTTTATTTATTCCACTTGGAACTATTGGACTTCTTGTCTGTGGTTTGGTGTCTTTCTTCAATTCTGAAAAATCCTCAGTCTTCCTTTCTTCACAGATGACGCCTCTGTCCCATGTTCTCCTCACTTTACTTTCTGCAAATCTACAGGCGTGTCTGTGCTTTTGGTGTCATCCAGGAAGTCAGTGCCAAATCCAGTGTCATAAAAATTCTTGCTATATGTTATTCTAAGAGTTTCACAGTTTTATTTCTTGCATTTATGTCTTTGGTGGGCTTTGAGTTCATTTTTGTATACGGTGTAAGGCAAGGGTTTAACGTCATCCTGTTGTATGTGGTGTCCAGTTTTCCCAGCGCCATTTGTTGAAAAGACTGTCCTTCCCCACTGAATGGCCTTGGTGTCCTTGTCGAATCATTTACCACATACAAGGGTTTCCTTCTGGACTGATACCGACTAATGACTGTGGCTCCGCCCTGGCCAGCGTGGCTCAGTTGGTTGGGCGTCCTCCCGTGCGCTGCAAGGTGCTGGTTTGATTCCCAGTCAGGGCAGGTATCTTGGTTGCAGGTTCGATCCCCGGCAGGGGTGGTGCCGGAGGCAGCCGGTCGGTGTCTCACTCTCACATTGATGTTTCTCTCTCCCTCCCTCTCTCCTTTCCTCTCTCTCTAAAAATTAATTTTCAAGATATTTAAAAAAATAGTGGGTCATGTATTCATATATGTCGTGGTGCTTGGAGTCATTCATCCCGTGATTTGGGGCAGGATGTTTCCCGTGCTGCTGTCCCCTCACTCGGACGGGAACCCAGGTGGCTGCTGTTTTCTTTCACTTTTCCTGAAGCCACACACAGTAGACATGTGGCTGATCAAATGTTTCTCAAACTTTTTTTTTTAAATATATATATATTTTATTGATTTTTTACAGAGAGGAAGGGAGAAGGGATAGAGAGCTAGAAACATCGATCAGCTGCCTCCTGCACACTCCCTACTGGGGATGTGCCCGCAACCAAGGTACATGCCCTTGACCAGAATCGAACCCGGGACCCTTCAGTCCGCAGGCCGATGATTTCAGAGGGGAAGGGAGAGGGAGAGAGAGACAGAAACATCAGTGATGAGAGAGAAGCATGGATCAGCTGCCTCCTGAATGCCCCACACGGGTGATTGAGCCCGCAACCCGGAAACGTGGCCCGACCAGGAATTGAACCGTGACCACTTGGTTCATAGATCAGCACTCACCCACTGAGCCCGGCCGGCGGGCTTAGTATTCTTTTCATGTACAATCAATACGGCAGGACTGGATCCTCAACTTCCAGTCCGCCCATCCCCCGTTCTTTTTTTAAAATATATTTTTATTGATTACAGAGAGGAAGGGGGAGAGAGAGAGAGAGAGAGAAAGAGAAAGATCAATGATAAGAGAGAATCATTGATTGGCTGCCTCCTGCACACCCGCTACTGGGAATCTAGCCCGCGACCCGGGCATGTGCCCTTGTCCGGAATTGAACCTGGGACCCTTCAGTCTATAGGCCGATGCTCTAACCACTGAGAAAACTGGCTAGGGCCCACTCCCCTTTCTTCAGAATGCACGCATCCTACACACACCTTGCTGCTGAATTTCATTCTCCGTAACGCACTGTTTGTCCTGACTTACTGCCAGGTCGAGACGTTTTCCTCTGGCCCCAGCTGTGTGGACAGGGCCACACGCCCCCTGACCCACCACGGCGCTTGCGTGCATATTCCAGTGCTGCTTCTGTGAGAGGCCCGCGCCGAGCGAGGACTGCCCCGCAGACATGGTGAAGATGACCAAGTCCAAAACCTTCCAAGCTTATCTGCCAAACTGCCACCGCACGTACAGCTGTGTCCACTGCAGAGCCCACCTGGCCAATCACGACGAGCTCATCTCCAAGGCAAGTGCTGTCCGGCGCCGGGCGGGGCTCCTGCCTCCTGGCTGCGCTGGGCCCTCCGTCCGAGCCTCCGGGCGGCGTGGCTGAGGCCTGTGCGAGATTGTGTGGCCGCCACGGGCTCGCGATCTCCACACCGTGGGCGGGCGGGGCAGGCGGCGGCGGGGACTCCGGGGTCACCACGACCAGAGGGGTCACTGGCCAGAGCAGTAAGATGAGTGTGAAACCGGACACGGCGAGGGCACCAGGGAGCCCAGGAACCTGGGGAAACGGCTGAATGCGTGGGGCCCTTTAAACTGGGCGGCTGGGAAGAGGGAGGCTCCGGGCGGGGGAGGCCCGGGAGGGAGGAGGCCCAGAGCGGGGAGGGAGGCCTGGGAGGGAGGGAGGCCCGGGAGGAGGGAGGGAGGCCTGGGAGGGAGGGAGGCCCGGGAGGGAGGGAGGGAGGCCCGGGAGGGAGGGAGGCCCGGAGCGGGGAGGGAGGCCCGGAGGGGGGAGGGAGGCCCGGGAGGGAGGAGGCCCAGAGCGGGGAGGGAGGCCGGGGAGGGAGGGAGGCCCGGGAGGAGGGAGGGAGGCCTGGGAGGGAGGGAGGCCCGGGAGGGAGGGAGGCCCGGAGCGGGGAGGGAGGCCCGGGAGGGAGGGAGGGAGGCCCGGGAGGGAGGGAGGCCCGGAGCGGGGAGGGAGGCCCGGGAGGGAGGGAGGCCCGGAGCGGGGAGGGAGGCCCGGAGGGAGGGAGGCCCGGAGCGGGGAGGGAGGCCCGGAGCGGGGAGGGAGGCCCGGAGGGAGGGAGGCCCGGAGCGGGGAGGGAGGCTCTGGGCCTCACAGGACCCGAGAGGCCGGCGCCGGTGCCGTGACGGGTCGGCCGTCGCTCTCACTGGGTCACTCTGAGCAGCTTGAGCTGCAGTCAACCCCTGGGCACAGGCAGAGCTGTCCGCACGGAGGGGGAGGGCGTGTTCCCTCCAGAAGCAGTGAGGCCCCCCCCCCCCCCGCCCGGGTCATGACCCCTCCCACCCTCACAGGTCATGACCCCTCCCACCCTCACAGGTCATGACCCCTCCATCCACCTACACAGGTCATGACCCCTCCATCCACCCTCACAGGTCATGACCCCGCCCACCCTCACAGGTCATGACCCCTCCATCCACCCTCACAGGTCATGACCCCTCCATCCACCCTCACAGGCCATGACCCCTCCCACCCTCACAGGTCATGACCCCTCCATCCACCCTCACAGGTCATGACCCCTCCATCCACCCTCACAGGTCATGACTCCTCCCACCCTCACAGGCCATGACCCCTCCCACCCGCACAGGTCATGACCCCTCCATCCACCCTCACAGGTCATGACCCCTCCATCCACCCTCACAGGTCATGACCCCTCCATCCACCCTCACAGGTCATGACCCCTCCTCCCACCCTCACAGGTCATGACCCCTCCCACCCTCCCAGGTCATGACCCCTCCCACCCTCATAGGTCATGACCCCGCCCACCCTCACAGATCTGCTTCCTGGGCCACAGGAACCTCACGCTCTCCTGAAAACAGTCCGTCAGGACGTTGTCCTTTCAGGAATCCCCTCCTAGGCTTCTTGTCTCGCTCGGTTAGAAGAGCATGTGTCCTGTGCTTTAGGTAATGATGAGAGGAGGTCTCCTTTCCGTCCATGATCGGAGGTGACGGTTACACAGGGCAGTTTCTCTGCTTCTGCGGCCCCTTCGCCCAGGCAGAGGTGTCCGGTCGCAGAGCCGCTCGGGGCCTCCCGGTCGGGCCGTGTCCCTGCCGAGCGCCTGGCCCCGAGCAGGCGTCCTCCGTGGCCCACGATGGCGTCCGCCCTGAAGCATCGGGCGGGTTGTGAGGTGGCCAGGGCAGAGGCCTGGGGGGCGGGGAGCAGTCAGGACACTGAAGGAGCCTTTTAGGAGGAAGGGCTGCGGAGAAGCTGAACTCCCCCAGCTTGCAGGCTGCCCAGAGGTGTCAGACTCGTGTCCCCGCTGACGGGAAAGCGAATGCCGCGTTCTCCCCTCACCTCCGCGATTTTCAGCCTTTTCCGTCTCCTGGCACACGTCAGCTCATGACCAAAGCGCGGCGGCGGCACGCCAAGAATGGTTTTGCCGATCTGACAAAAATAGAAATAATTTTGATGCATTCACACTGGACCGCCGTGGTGTTGGCGGTTGTCATTGCCTAACGTGATGGTCTGAGGAGCAGAGGCCAGTGCCCCCGGCGGAGCAGCCAGGCACGCGTGCCTTCAGAACCCTCGCGGCACCGTCTCCCGTTGTTCCGCAGCGCCCGTCGCGGAGAGCAGAACCGAATCCACGCGAGGCGGAGGCCGTCCTGACAGGCTCACAGTCTCTGGGTCCATCTGTTTTGTTTTGTTTTTTATATTTTATTGATTTTTTACAGAGAGGAAGGGAGAGGGATAGAGAGCTAGAAGCATTGATGAGAGAGAAACATCCATCAGCTGCCTCCTGCACACCCCCCACTGGGGATGTGCCCGCAACCAAGGTACATGCCCTTGACCGGGATTGAACCTGGGACCCTTCATTCCGCAGGCCAACGCTCTATCCACTGAGCCAAACCGGTCAGGGCATCTGGGTCCATCTGTGCGCTGACAAGCAACCCCGGCCCAGGAAGCCCACCGGTGAGGCAGGTCTCGTTGTCAGAGGCAACCCCGTCTGCAGCCACATCGGGCAGAGCGCTGTTTTCGTCAAGTTTTATGTATCATCTGCGGCTACTTTGGTGCCACCACCGAGTGTAAATGGCCCCACAGCCTAAAACATTCATCTGGCTCTAACTTACAGCAGTTTGCAGAGCACAGCTGTGGTCAGACTGTGGCTTTAATTTGAACCACAGATCTGATCACACCTTTGATCCAAATCCTGTGTCAAAAATGAGGATCCAGCCCCAGCTGGTTTGGCTCAGTGGATAGAGCATCGCCTGCGGACGGAAGGGTCCCAGGTTTGATTCCGGTCAAGGGCACATGCCTGGGTTGGGGGCTCAATCCCCAGTGTGGGGGGGGGTGTGTGTGTGTGTGTGGGAGGTAGCTGATCGATGATTCTCACTCATCATTGATGTTTTATCTCTCCCCTTTTCCCTTCCTCTCTGAAGTCAATATATATATATATATATATATATATATATATATATGTATGTATATATATATATATATATATATATATATATATATATATTTATATTTACACAATTTTTTTGAAAACCCAAGAGGATAGTATTTAAAAAAAACAAACCAAGAATTCACAAAATATGTGAAAATTTGGAAAATCAGTCTAGAAACGATAGGGCTGTGTGAAAAGTTTTTATGATGAATCTTTAATTGGACATAAATAATATTCCTCATTCTAAGAAGCTACTTAAGGGAAGACCCCTTTTTAAGTCTGAAAGCTGTATATTTAAATCAAAACACTGCTAGTCTCAGGCTGGGTTTTGCTTCAGTAACAACCCCAAATCTGTGGCTTAAAATGGAGGTTTATTTATTTATTTATTTATTTTTTAATCCTCACCTGAGGATATGTTTTCTGTTGATTTTAGAGAGGAAGGGAGAGAGGGAGAAACATTGATCGGTTGCCTCCCCTATGCACACGGAGATCGAACCCACAACCTGGGTATGGGAATTGAACCCACCATCTTTTGGTGAATGGGACGCTCCAACCAGCTGAGCCACCCAGCCAGGGCTAAAGGAGGGTTTGTTTCTTGCTCAGGTAAGGTGTTCACCATGAGGCGGCCAGGGCTCTGTAATTACACATTAAAGTGATGCGTATGTATAAGGGAGTTCCTATCCCAACTCCATTCCTTAGAGTAATCACTTAGTAATTTGGTGTGTGTTGTCTGTTGTGTGTGTGTGTGTGTGTCTGTTTTGTGTGTGTGTGTGTGTGTTGTCTGTTTTGTGTGTGTGTGTGTGTGTATGTGTGTCTGTTTTGTGTGTGTGTGTGTGTGTGTGTCTGTTTTGTGTGTGTGTGTGTGTGTGTGTGTGTCTGTTTTGTGTGTGTGTGTGTGTCTGTTTTGTGTGTGTGTGTGTGTGTGTGTGTGTCTGTTTTGTGTGTGTGTGTGTGTGTGTGTCTGTTTTGTGTGTGTTGTCTGTTTTGTGTGTGTGTGTGTGTGTGTGTGTATGTGTGTCTGTTTTGTGTGTGTGTGTGTGTATGTGTGTCTGTTTTGTGTGTGTGTGTGTGTGTGTGTGTGTGTGTGTGTGTATGTGTGTCTGTTTTGTGTGTGTGTGTGTGTTTGGGGGGGGGGTTCTGTTTGTTGTGTGTGTCCATGACAACACATTTTCACTTTAAAATAGAGCTCACGACACGTCATCTCACAGCTCTCCCTTCGCTTAGCAGTGTTTTATGCCCTTCCCAGCCCACTCGCACCGATCTGTTCCTGTCCCTTTGGAAGTGCCTGAGCCCGGGTGGGAAGGGAATTCATTTGTTTGCTCGCTTATTGGTGGGTTTTTCTTCTTTTTTTTTTTTCCGATTACACTCTGACGGTGACCGTTCTTGTCACATATCCTTGCGCACTCAAGCTGATCGGTTCTTTACAGTCAGTTCTGAGAGTGGGTTGCTGGCCATTCGGTCTGTGCCTTCCACATCTTGGTATGGTCACCTTGTGCTCCAGTCAACCTTCCTCACGGTCTTTTGAATTAGTGCCAAGTGACAGGCAAAGAAACCAAGACAGTGTTCTTGCAGGGGTTTGCATTTCGCTGATTATTTTTGTGGTCCATCTGTTCTGGTGGGTCATTTGAGCCTGGCACCAGACAGACGAACCTCAAGCTGAGTCTGGGACTGACCTGATCTATCCAGGAGGCACTAACACCCCATCCCGCCTCCTAAGTCATCTTGGGATGATCAATATGCTATGAGCTGCTTCTTAGCTTGTAATAGTCCCGGGTGAGCTGTCCTTTCCTCCCAGGAGGGGCCACCTTGTGACTGTTCATTTCAGTGGGAAAGCATGAAAACGCCCCCTTGCCCCTAATATCTGACAGATGTGGTGCATCTGAGTGAGTGAGGACCCCTGGCAGCCCCTGTGGGGCTCTGGGAAGCCATGACTCCCCCCCAACCCCCTGCTTTTGGGAAGATCTTGTCCTGCTCCAGGCCCTGAGCTCAGCCCCTCATGCTCTGCCAGGCAGCCCTTCAGCTCGTGTGCCGATCCGTGACCTGAAACACAGCTCCTCCACTTTCATTCCAAAACTCGAGACTCCTGTCACCTTTGCCTCGTCACAATCACCTTTAACACTTCGCTCTTCTTTCAGTCCTTTCAGGGAAGCCAGGGGCGCGCCTACCTCTTCAATTCTGTGTGAGTATCACGGTCACTCGGCCCGGGGGAGTGACACCAGCACTGCTGTGCTCGGTGTCAGATCCCAGAGGTCGTGTCTGTGCCCATTGAAGCACTCGGTGCTGGAGTTCAGTGCTCCCCAGTATCTAGAACAGCCGTGGGCAAACTACGGCCCGTGGGCCAGATCCGGCCCGTTTGAAATGAACAAAACTAAAAAAAAAAAAAAAAGACCGTACCCTTTTATATAATGATGTTTACTTTGAATTTATATTAGTTCACACAAACACTCCATCCATGCTTTTGTTCCGGCCCTCCGGTCCAGTTTAAGAACCCATTGTGGCCCTTGAGTCAAAACGTTTGCCCACCCCTGGTCTAGAATGACCGGTGTCTCTTACATGATCTTAAAGAATTCTCTCTCGTCTTGAGAGTTTCAGGAAGGCATGCGGTTCTGAGGGATTAGTCTGCACACATGCTGTGGTTTCCTTCCCGTTTGGGGGTGGGGGGGTTGAGTTTTGCTACAGCAGCACTGTGCTACCTCCCAGAGCCTGGCCCGTCCTGGGGAGATAAAAGGTGGTGCCTTCTCCTGAGAGGTGGTGGTGGGCAGGGCTGGGGGAGGCGGGCAGTTACAAACACTGCTGCCTGTCTGGTAACCAACTGCCTCAAGAAATCACCACCAAGGGGGTGGCCCCTCTTTGGGGGGTCGGGGAGGCCTCAGGGGGCAGGTCTCCAGCACCGGCTGCTCCCTCCTGCAGGGTGAACGTGGGCTGCGGCCCCGCCGAGGAGAGGGTCCTTCTCACCGGCCTGCACGCCGTCGCAGACATCTACTGTGAGAACTGCAAAACCACGCTCGGGTGGAAATACGTGAGTGACCACCTTGTTCTGACGTCCAGAGAACACACGGATGTTCTACGATAAATAAAACATTTACAGATGGGAACAAAATCTGCGAATACGTATATCTCCCCCGGAAGTGTAATCCTATCAGAGTTCATTTTTCTTTTAAATATATATTTTTATTGATTTCAGAGAGAAAGAGAGGGGGAGAGAGAAACATCAATGATGAGAATCATTGATCGGCTGCCTCCTGCATATGCCCCCTGGATTGGGGATCAAGCCCGCAACCCAGGCATGTGCCCTGACCCGGAATCGAACCATGACCTCCTGGTTCATAGGTCGATGCTCAACCACTGAGCCATGCTGGCCGGGCAAGAGTTGATTTTTTTTTTTTTTTAATATATTTTATTGATTTTTTACAGAGAGGAAGGGAGAGAGAGAGAGTTAGAAACATCGATGGGAGAAGAAACATCAATCAGCTGCCTCCTGCACACTCCCTACTGGGGATGTGCCCGCAACCCAGGTACATGCCCTTGACCGGAATCGAACCTGGGACTTTTCAGTCCGCAGGCCGACGCTCTATCCACTGAGCCAAACCGGTTTCGGCAAGAGTTGATTTTTTAGAATGTTTTTATTGCTTTCAGAGAGAAGGGGAGAGGAAGAGAGAGGTAGAAGCATCAATGATGAGAATGCTTGATCGGCTGCCTCCTGCATGCCATCCTGGTTTTCTTCGTCAGGGCACGGCCCTCCCTCCTGGAATTCTCGATCGTTGCTGTGTCCCACGTCCCCATCAGATATGAGACACAGTGCCCAGCACAGAGGCGAGCTTAGTGAGGCCTGCACATTCCCCCGTCCGTCCCCCTGCTTGGCCCATTCCATCCCTGACCACCCCGGCCCCCAACAAAGGGCCTTCACTCCCTACAGCATCTCTGAACTATGCCCGGGCTCCCAGTGCAGTCACCTGCACCCTCCTCTCGCCTGGAGTCCCTGGAAGGAGCATCTCGCTCCTCTTCCTCCTCCCAAATTGCCCTGCACATGGCAGGTGCTCAGTTAACAAATCGGAATTCCTGTTTCCCTACAAGTTTAACTGTAACCTGATGCCACAGGCACAGCAGCCGTGCGCTGCCCTCAATGGGCTTGTCACCTGAGACAGACCCCCGCCATGAGCCCGTGCAGGGGACGTCTGGGGAGACGTGCTACCGTACACTCACTCACTTTCTCTGCTCAGAGTGCAGCGAAGTTGAGAATGAAACAGTCTTTCCTGAAACCTTCTGTTTCTACTTTCTCCCCAAGGAACACGCCTTTGAAAGCAGTCAGAAATATAAGGAAGGGAAATTCATCATTGAGCTTGCCCACATGATCAAAGACAATGGCTGGGAGTAAAGCGAAGGCTTCCTGTTCTCTTCCGAATCCTGTTTGGCGAGAGACTTTATTGGAATGGAAACACAGGAGCGCCCTGGATGACTGTTTCTTGAACTTGAACCTTGCAAGCCTGCCCCTGCCGGCCGTTCCCATGGGTAAGGCTCCATGTGGTCTATGTCCTCTTCCGGTATGTGGTCGTTTCAGAAACGTTCCAGTGACCCTTTTCTAGTGTCTCCAACTCTAGAGGAAGAATTAACCAGCTGGTGGCTTACCTGTCTAGTTGATACCTTCTAGAACCTGTGACTTTAAGATCAAGTTTGGCTGCTTTCATAGCTGACAGAAACGAGCCGAATCTACAGACCATGGGGACAGGGTCTTTAGAGCAGGTTCACCCCTGTCGTTTAGGACAGTGTTATAGCCCACTTTTTCCTAATTTGCAAAATTACAAATTGGTTATTTCTCTTGCAAATGAGCTGTTAAGTCACAGTGCTCATTTCAGAATATTCCAGAAGCAGTCAAATCTGTACACGAAGGGTGTTTTTCTTAGCCTTGTTCAAAACCAGAAGATACCATTGATCACATTTTAGGTGAGCTAGAAATAGAGAAATGTGTTCAATGGAACATCCTGTTTATTTAAGCCAATAGCCTCCTTATCTAGGAATCAAGTGAACCAGTTGTTAGCAAAGACTGACCCAGGGCCTGCGGGCGCAGCTGTGCCAGGGCCAGGGCCCGGACCAGGCTCCGGAGGTGGGGCTGACGTGAGGCAGGCATTGAGCGGCTGGGCCATGGAGCACTAGTTTAACACACTGGACTGAGTAAATCCAACTTCCTTTTCTACTCTGATGTACTTGAAGAAAAATAATTATTTTTGCATATGAAAGAGGCCGGAACTAACAGGATAAACTTTCAAACTTGAGATTTGGTAGATTGTTTTTAATGTTTTCAGAAAAGGTTAAAGTTGCAAGACAGGTTTAAACTTTGTAAATGAGATGTTTGGCTGCCTTGCTGGGCTGTCCCACGGGCTGTCACAGAAGGGCCTGCGCAGTGTCCTAGGTCCTGAGTAGCCGCCACATGTTTTAAGTTTTGACCCAGCCCTGCTTCTGCAGGGAGTGGGCACTGCACGGGTTTTGGCCAATTTGTAAAGAATTTAGATCAAAAATGTTCCCAAATAAGTTTTGTTTCAATGTTCTAACCCGACTCCAGCCTGTGGGCCAGCCTGCTGCTCCAGGTGTGCGGGGAGGCCTGTGTGGTCGCCGTGGCGTGAGGCTCACTGGATCCCGGTGCCAAGGGCAGGAAAAGGGCCCAGGGGAGCAGGGAGAGAGCCATGTGCCCAGGTGCTTCTCAGCCTGTAGGCGAGGTTAGTCCAGTGGCAGCGAGCATGAGCCCCTGCCCTGACCCCAGCCTCCCCTGAGCCCAGAGCCGTGGCCGTGCAAGCACTGGGCTCCCTGCCCGGTTCTGGTTCGGCTGCTCACCTGGAGCTTCCCTTTTGGCACCATCTCTGCCCGAGTCTCGAAGCCTTGGGACGCGGGGAGCGTGGCAGCCGGAGAGCAGGGCGGGTTAGGGCCGAGGAGCCTCTGTCGCGCATCTTGGGTTGAAGGAAGGTCCTGGTGCCGCTGTGGCAGCCTCTGCACTCGCAGTGCTCCAGCTGGCGTCCAAAGATCTAGGCTGACCGGCCCGGCCGCGTAGCCAAGGTAGGGTTCGCTGTGCAGCGAGCAGTGGGAAACCTGAAGACGCTTCGTGCTCACGCTGGCACGTGAAACCGCAAACACCTGCAGCTCGGTCCTTAGGGGAAATGTGGAGGGACTGAGGGACTGAGGGAGCCTTCCCTGAGTGAGTCCTCGTGGTGCAAACCTGGCCGAGATGGACACGCCCTTCTCGTTCCTCTACAAGCCTCCGCTGCACCTGAGGCTCTGCGGACCAGGAACGTGGGCGGCGCTGTGCCCCTACCGCTGGGCCAGGGCAGCGGCTCCTGCGTGTCTCCAGGTCTTTGCTGCAACTGAATCTAAAATTCTCCCGACTGGTTTTGTACATACTAAACTTATATTTAAAGCTTTTATATGTTCTGGGCAATTTTACTGCTCCTTCAATTTGAGCACTTTGGTTTTGTATCGTATATTTGATGGCATCAAAACCTTTTTCTTGGTCTTATGCCTTTTTTTTGTTTTTTATATAATTGATACAAATATTCTCACCACTTTTTTGTTGGTCTGCAAAACCCAAGCTCCTTTTGAAACCAAATGAACTGAGCTGGCTTCAGGGAAGGACATGCACGAGCCACAACTCTGTGCTGGTATGTTCCACCCTCTCAAATTCCGAAACAGCAAATGTCATCCCGACTTTTAAGTTATTTAAACTATTTTTTCCCTGAGTGGGAGGTGATGCCAGGATTACAAATGCATTTAACTTAAAACTGTGCTGTGTCCTCTGGCTCAGTACATTTGCTTTAGAAATGTGGTTTAGTCTTGTTGCCGTTTTGTATATACATATATAGTATTTTTATACCTTAACACTTATTCTTGATGGCATCTGTCAGATATTAGCAAGGATCAGAAATGGGAATTTTTCAAAAGTCCTTTAATTTACCTGATGACCTCACCAGGTACTTAAAAAATCCAAGTGCTTTTAATTTCTGGAAAACTACAATGTAAGCTCCAAAGTAACCTACAGAATGTAAACCTCATTTGTCAAAGGCTCTGGGCCGACCTGGGGGCCGCTCCGTGGGGCTGCAGCCTGGCCTAGCCCGGAGGCCCCCCTCGGAGCTGGACTGCCAGCGCGAGCACACAGCCTCCCCCGCCTGTGTGTCAGTGTGAGGTTCAGAAATAAAGCTTCCATGTCCAGCGTCTCCTTTGCAGTAGCAGGTGCTTGGCTCTGCTGCTGAGGGACGGGCCCTGTGCTGTCACACACCCACCTGCCTGCCGCCTCCTGGGTCTGCCAGGCTCTCGGAGACCGGGCGGGTGCAAACAGCCTTTCCCGAGTGAGTGCGCAGGCATCTGTAGCTTGGAGGGTGGTGTGAAGGGGTCGTGAAGAAGCGAGGGACCACTGTGACTGAAGGTGCAGAGGAGCTAGACAGCTGACGGGCAGGGAGACCACAGAGGGACGGGCACAGCGGAGAACCACTGTCAGGTCAGCAGCTGTGGGAAGGTGACTCAGCGTCGGTGTGGCCGTGCACGAGGGCCAGAGGAGGAGGCAGGTGAGACACCGGGTTTGCGCCTGGTCTTTAGCATCAGAGCTGGGAGAAGAGCCAGGTGCATTCTGGAAGAACTGTCAAGACTTACTGACGGAATTGAGGTTTGGGGTGAGAAACCAAGGATGAAACGGAGTTAGAACTTCAGCGTGCTGAGCGGGAGGAGGTGGTGGGCTGTGCCGACCCAAGGACCTTAGCATTGAGAAGAGGTGTGAGGGGAACAGGGATCTTTTAGAGCCCCAGGGTAGAGGAGACGGCTCCCGGGAGGAGGCAGCTGTCCCTGGCTTCTGAAGCAGGCACTTCAGGAGAGCTGAGGTAGTGTCAAGGTCAGGAGAAGGGAAGCCGGGTGGGCACAGGCTGCAGAAGGAACAGAAAACAAGGGTGGGTGGGCAAGAGGAAGCTTTTTGGAAAAACAGGGTCAGGGAAGGGACTCTTAAGTTAGGAAATGCTGGTGTGGCTGCCCGAGAATCCTAAGAGCTGGGACTGGCGGCCAGGTTTGAGTACAAGGATGGGCCCTGAGGGTGGAAGGAGGTGGGGGCATGCGCACACTAGCTGGATGGGGCCTTCTGCACGTCCAACAGGAGCCAGCTGCCCTCACCCAGGTATGGTCTTGTCACCAGCCTGAGACAGAAGGTGGGCAGACCTGGGGTAGAACCCAGAACAGGCGTGCCTTGGGCATGGCTGTGACTGCCCGTGGTCCTTGCTGAGCTGGACCCAGCAAACCCAAGCAAGAGGGGGCAGAAAGGTTTTTGGAAGTAACATCTAGGTTCTAGTCCAGGGTCCTCAAATCACTGGCATCAGAAGCCCCCGTGGACACAGACCTCAGAGCCCCGCCTCCAGGTCAGACTCTAACAAGGTTCGGGGTGAGGCCGCTGGTCGGGAGGCCACATGGAGTAAAAATAGTCCCAAGAAGATGACGGAAGTGGGAGGTGATGGTAAGAAAACTGGGACAGGAGACAACAGCCCTTCTTCCCAAACCCAGACCCAGAGGTCCCAGACGTGGGCTCTGGCTGGGGCCAGGACACTGGGCTCCTGGGACAGGAAAGGGAACCCAAGCAACAGGCAAGGGCTGGCCTAGGCGGGCAGAAACCTCGGGGTGTGGAAACCAGCACCGCATCCCTACCTGGGTCCGAGCAGCAGGCCTGCTGCTACCATGCGCTGAAGTCCTTGAAACCTCCACTGGGCTTCTTCTTGGCCACGGGGACAGCTGCGCTGGTGGATGGTTCCTCATCAGCCACACGTTTCCTGGGGAGAGAAGAGCCGGGCGCCAGCTGCTGTGGGGGCCAGGCGTTCCACATCACCCCCACCCGCATCTGATCGCTTCAGCTACACCAAGCCTCCCAGCTCCCGCTCATGGCTCAATCCCAGATCGGTAAGCTCATGGACGCACCCTGGGAATGGACACCAGCTCCCACCCCACTCACGTGGCTGCAGGGTTGATGTACTTGCCCACCCCCTGGCGGTAGGTTGGGGGGCCCTGGTTCCCTGACTTGGACTGGCTTTTCTTCACTGTGCTCTCGGGGGCTGCCTCCGCGAGCTGTGTCTTCTTCCGCTCCTCAGCGATCTGTGGTGGAGCAGGGATGTGGCTGACCCGGAGCCCCTCGGGCTGGATAGGACTCCCCGAAGCCCTCCCCCTGTGGCCAGACACTCCTCACCTGAACATCAGCCTCCTCGTAGGGGTCCACAAACACCGTGGTGGAGTCGATGCGGATCTCCTCCTATAGCAGAGGGAGCCCGTGAGCAGGGCTGGCAGGAGACAGGACCCCACAACTGCCCGCTGAGCCTGAGGAGCAGCCCCTCTGTTCTCCCGGGGCACATACCTTAGGGCGGTCAGTTTTGGGATCACTCTCCACATTCTCCATGGCTGTTAGTGTGTCAAAGCCCCCGACAACCCTAGAGCAGAGGGAAGGGTGCCTCTGAATATGGCCTGCTCAGGGCACCCCCAAAGGCCAAGTCCCCACAGCATGCCAGGAAGAGGGGCTGCAGGCCCATGCTGGCCTCACAGGCGAGGGCGCAGACAGATTGAGGAAGACCCGCGGGCCAGCACAGGACTGTGGGCCAGGACAGGAGGGGCCTGAGAGGTGAGGCTTTATTAGGACACAGGCCCGCTGCTTCCACACTGTCTGTGGCTGCTCTGCTACCACCACAAAGCTGAGGAGTGAGACAGAGACCGTAAGGCCACAAAGCTGGAAATTCCACCTGGGCCTTCCCAGGATGGAGAGAAAGGGGGTGCCCAGACCTGTGATTTGGGGTCTCCAAAGGAGAACCCGAGGGGCTGACCGGGCAGGACAGCCACCAGGCAGGGCTGCAGCTGCGCTCTTCCTAGCCAAGGTCCCCTGCCCAACACAGAAGCCCCAAGTCCCCGTCCTGCACGGCTGTGACCTCGGCAGGGCCAGGCCGCGGGAAAGGCAGCAAGAGGCTCCAGCTGGGGAAGGAGCCCGCCCTCCCAACAGCCCCGACCTCACGCAGCAACTTCTCTTACCGCCCGAAGATGGTGTGCTTCTTGTCGAGGTAAGCGCAGGAGCGGAAGGTGATGAAGCTGGGAAGGAGAACAGGGAGGTCAGGAGGAGTGAGCTTCCCCACGGCCGCTGGGCACAAACCAGGCCACACACACCCTGCCCCGCGCCTGCTCACTGTATGCACAGTACGGTCCCTTGCCTGCCTGCCTAGGGCAGGCTGTCAACCAAGGTGCCACCAGGTGACTGGGGCCTCTGGCCACTCGGGAGGAATCC